GAGAACTAGGGAGAAATTCTACCTTTGCTGATAAAGGATCTGGGTCATAGTTTTACCTCTCTACCCACTCATGCTCAGGTGGGAGAGTAGGAGGGAGATTTCTTTTACATTAGGCTGGGCACAAGGCTGTTCACTGTCCCCCTCTCTCCCTTCTATAACTACCCCCTATAGAGGGATGAGTTAACAAGATGATACTGAGTCATACATAATGACACCAGCTATCATCCATGAAATGCCATCACCTTACATAGTGTAAAACTAGAGCAGTTGTCTTAGATATTTCCTTGTTTCCACCACTGTCTTCCTCTTAGCAAGAGACTATATGAATAACTAAGAACAGGGAACAAGGAGAAATTGAGGTAGAAGGACCAAAGTAGCTAGGATGAGAACATAAGTAAACCAAGCAGAAGTGGAGGCTCATCTGAGAAGATGGGCAGGGAGGCAAGGCTTGTGGGCCTAATATTCTGGAGGAGTCTAAGCAAGCACAAGGAGACCCAGTTCACAGCATCAGGATGAGTAACAATAATGGCCCACATTGCACTTCTCAAGATGCATTAGCAGCTAAATCAATACATATAGGGGGACTGGGCCATAGCCAGCAGTTCCTACCTAAAAATAGTGCATCTTCCTTCCCTTCCTCCAGGTCAATAGAGTAAACCAGGATAGGACCGGGAAGGAGTGAGGCAGTAGCAAAGAACAGGGGCAGGTGAGACTGCTGACCAGCAAGAATCAGGAACTAGTCCACAGTCCCACTGGCCACCTGACAAGCAAGCCTCCAGTGCTTAGTGATTTAGTATAGAAAGCAACCTGAGAGTCTAACATCTCTACAAAACATTATCCCACTTAGAAAGAAGTCTGAGAACTGACAAATTAAAACCTATCTGCAATTATCCATATTTTTAGCATAATAAAGTCTTAACATTCTGTTGCCATAGAGATCAGTAAAGAATGAAGGAACCCCACAGAGCCCTGCCCATGAATTCAGGCCTTCTCCTTTGGTTGGTTCCTAGGTAGTAAGCTAGCTAGGTTCTTTCCCACCCTTTGTTTTACAGAGCAGGCAGGGGAAGGTGTAACTCCCCTTAGGCAGGGCTATTCCTGAAATACTCTGCTCTTTGGAAATTCACCAGTCCCAAGCCTGTTCTCAGGCAAAGCTATATGAAAAGCAAGGATTCAGAGAACTGGCCAAAAAAATAATTGTTGAAGTCAGGTCAGGGAAGCCCTGATATAATATAAGGTCCAGATCCTTTTAGATAGTGGATTGGGATACAGAAGGTGAAAGGTAGGCACAAAACCTACAGGGTAAAACTGTGAGCTTAAGAGACTTTTTTGGTATTTAAGCTCAAGTTCACAAAACACCTCAAAGATAAGGTATAGAATGTGCTACTGTCACACTGCCATCTGGTGGAAAGACAAGCTTTGTCCTTAGGCACAGACAGGAGTCAAAAGTCTATTCAGAGGGCAGACAGGTATGAAGACACTTGAGGTGATAAAGCCCTGCAAGGTGGTGCACGCCTGTAATCCCAGTGACTTGGGAGACTGACGCAGGAGTTTCAGAAGTTCAAGGCCAGCCTCCACAACTTAGTGAGACCCTGTCTCAAAAAATAGAAAGGGCGGGGGATGTGACTCAGTGGTAAAATAAACCCTTGATTCAATACCTAGTACCTGCCCCCACCACATAAAAAGATGACAATAGATGGAGACCATGGCTAAGAATGGAAGGTAGATACAGATGGGGAATTCCACCAGATGTGAGCCTTCTATTTTTTTCCATAAAGGTCAAATACAATAAAGAAAAGGCACTGGTATTATAAAAGTTTTATATATCTCCCTGGAACCATCATGGTTTTGGCTCCGAAGTTTAACATCAGAACAACACACTAACTGAGACCGCATGGACAGCAGCAGCCACAACAGGGAGATTGGCTTTTATATAAAGTTTATATGTATATATATATAATTTTTTCTTTTATATGTACATAGACACAAGGATATAAAATCAAGTGAGAAGGGCTCACCCATACTCAGGTAGGGGATGGGAGTGGCTTTAACCACCAGGGTTGAAACATCAGTAGAGGCACATAGGAAGTGGTGGAAAATAGCAGCCTCCCCTCCATCCTCACACCCTAGGCCAAAGGGAGGACTTGAGAAGAAGGACAAGTGTACAAAGGAAGATGGAAAGGTATCCTACCTTTTACTTAAACTCCTGAAAGCCCCTGAGGCTTCAATCCCAATTGCCTGGCAGGATAGATCACTACTGTGCCTCCCAATAAGATGCTGAGCCTACAGTAGTAGTTCTGGCTTCAAGCTATAATTAAGCTGAGGCCTGAGCCAGGTGTCATAATGTGCATGTCCATATCCATGCTATCTGCCAGGGTCCTTAAAGCAAAAGTCCAGCACCTTCAAAGTGCACCCCGTAACTCCAATGTCCTCTATATTCAGAGATCCTGTGATAGTTCATAGGGTAAAAATATAGGAAGAGAGGTTAGGTCCTATAGTTAATACCCTATGGCCTTCCCAATGGAGGAAGAATCACTAAGAGGTAATGGGAAAGGGAAAGAAGGTGGTCTTGGGAAAAGATACACAAAGACAAAAGTGTTCAATGCAGGTGTAGATTGTTCTCTTCAACTGGGGGCTTTGCTCAGCAGAGTCCATTCCCAGTGGGGCATGGGCAGGAGCTCTTCTTGTTGTCTTAAGAGTGGCCCCAAGTTCCTCCAGAATCAATGTCCATGCCTCAGGATGGCTTGGTCCACAAATGGAAGACAGGGCAGTAGAAGGAGAAGAGAGTGGCAGGACCCAGACGGTACAGAGAGGTAGTGTGCTGTGCCACTGATTTACCTGTGACAAGGAAAAGAGGTAAATGAGAAGCCCAAAGAAAAGAGAATAACCAAACAATAAAATGAGCTAAGCCTTGAGACTCACATGGTTTGGGGGGTAAAGAGGCTGGAAAGCTGGAAGCACTGGGATGCAATTGCCTGGGAGGCAAGGTTCAAAGCCGGACTCAGAGCTAAAACAAAGACATGTAGAGTGATTTGAGTGAGCAAAAAGCATTCCTTTCTTCCAAGCACCACCCCTTCATTCCCTTTTCTAAGCCTATGTCTACCAGTCAGAGCTGCTGGGTTCAGGGCCCCCAAAGGAACTGCTCCATTCAGTTGTAAGGCAGCAGCTTGGGCAGCAGCAGCAGCAGCAGCAGCTGTGGTTGGCAGCTGGATTCCAGAGCCTAAAAGAACAAGAGGTGGGATTAAGTACCAATCCTTGATCTAAAATTCATCCCTGTGTTCTCCACCCAGCAGATATTCTACCTTCTGCCAGTTTGGCCACAAGCTGCAAACGTCCACCTGCTGATCCCAGATCCAGCTCCTGGTCCCCATCAGGAAAAGTGATGTCTGTGCCACCATCCAGCCGCTCAGTCACTTGGCCAACCCTCATAGGTCGACCAGCAAGTTCAAAACCATTCAACTGTTCCAGGGCCCGCCGGGCACACTCAGAGTCAGAGAACTACAAGAAACCCAGGCTGTGTCAGTCACCTCCTGGTCAGACATATTCTCAAAGCCCCACTTAACATTTCCTGGTCCCGCTATCACAGGAAAGTTACATATTCACTATAGTACAAAATTTTCTTTCCCAGGGAATGTAACCTAAGACCCCCACTGCCTCAAAATGATCATCTGAAAAAGACTGAGTGGCAACCACTTTTCAATATTCCAGCTCCATTAAGATATCTACCAATGCAAAAAGTATATCACCTGTAAGGAATCTAGCCTGACAGGCTGTTTTACAAATGGGCATATAAAATGGAAGTAAAATCTTCTCAGTTTTTCATTCATCCCTCAGGCTTAGTAAGTTTTAGTTCTCAATCAAGTACTAGGAATCCGGGACTCCAGAGCCCAGACTCTGGGACTCCAGAGCCCAAGCTTAGGAAGAAACACACTGTGGTATTGAGAGCAGACAGTATCCTCATCCCTACCTAGTGCTGGCAATTAAATGATGGGCAGACAATCTCTGCTCTTTAGTCCTTTTTTATCAGCTGCACCCGCAGTACCCAGTTTGAAGATTCCCGGTTGGCTGTTGGTATGTCAAGGCTGTTGACCAAAAGGCAGCAACAGAAGCCTTTCCATGTGTGAGTCACACAGAATTAGAAATGGTTACTTGCCACTAAGGAATCATCAACACCACAGCTGGCTTTGTTTACTCTGGTAATCCTTGCTGTAGGGCCTGGCATGTGGTACTGACAGTTCCTAGGTGGTAGTGTAGGTGGCTTGCTTTTACTGGATACTTCTAAGGTGAGCAATTCCCATGACAGAACACAACCTACTGCTCTCTGCCCTGTAAGCAACTGTGAGGGCATACACTGTCTGGATTAAGCCCAGAAAATATCAGTTTCTATCCAATTTTGTGGCTGGCAGCCAGTTCTCAAACTGGAGTCACAAGGGGCTAGAAGAACCAGTTATAGGAAGTAGAAACAATTTTGTTGGGAGAGTCAGGAAAAGGCTGCCCATTACTAGGGTAGCCTCACTATTCTTCCTATGGTGTTGTTCCTATAGTGGTGTTGTTCTCAATGGAGAAACTGCTTCAAATGAGGTAGTGCCAGGGGGAAGTATTAACTTCCTATTCCCATCCTTATCATGAGAATGCACTGATTCTATAAATCTTTTAACACCCATGCCTAACCTCCCTCATGCCCCCAACCTTTTAGCTGCAGCCTGGAAACATTACTATTACCCAAATAGCAAGATGCGGCACCAGGGAAGCTGGCTGAAATTTCTGGACACCCCCATACCAAGGCCACTGACACAGTGTAGGAGCAAAGCCAAGATCTCAAGCAATTCACTCATCTCAAGGGGCAGAAGGCTAGTCCAAGCTTCAGGCACCAGGATTTATGGGTCACTTAGTTCCTAAAGGAGGAGGATGAAGCTAAGCTGCAAAATCAGACAAGTGGAAAAACCCAAAGAAAAATTTAAAAACTAGAAGACAAGAGACTCACCGTAATAAAACCGTAACCTTTAGAACGGCCTGTATCTGAGTCTTTCATCAGGATAATATTGTCAATCTGCAGAGGAACAGGAAGGAATTATTAATTCTATTTTCAGTAGCCCACAATCTTTCATCTCTCTTACCCAATTTATTCTAAATACCTCTCTCTACCTCCAGATAACAAATTATATCTTCCCAAATCACCTCCTTTTTTTTTAGTCGTCAATAAACCTTTATTTTATTTATAAGCAATGCTGAGATCAAACCCAGTGCCTTACATATGCTAGACAAGTGCTCTCCCACTGAGCTACAACCCCAGCCCCCCAAACCTTCTTTTAAAAAGAGACAAAGGCAGGGTGTGATGGTGTGCACCTGTAATCCCAGTGACTTGGGAGGCTGAGGCAGGAGGATTGTGAGTTCAAGGGCAGCCTCAGCAACTTAGTCCCTCAGTCACTTAGCAAGAACCTATCTCAAAAAACTTAAAAAGGGTTGAGGGGCTGAGGCTGTGGCTCAGTGGTAGAGCATTTGCCTAGCATGTGTGAGGCACTGGGTTTGATTCTCAGCACCACATATAAATAAATGAATAAAATAAAGGTCCACCAATACCTAAAAAATAGATAAATAAATAGGGTTGAGAATACAGACCAGCAGTAAAGTGCCCCTGGGTTCAAACCCCAGTATCAAAAAGACAAAGGCCATCTTTTTCAAAAACACTTAACTAATCTTACTTAATCTGGATCCTCTTATTTGATTTTATTGTGCCTGACTTGGTTTTCTACTGATCACCATGATTAGAGATGGAACCTAACTTTCATGCCATGGACCATTTGCCAAGGACATATGCAATGAGTTAATCATAATTAGACAGAAGAACAGTACACACACCTACTCCACATTTTTCTCCTTCTTTCTTTTTTTTTTGGTTGTAGATGGACACAATATCTTTATTTCATTTATTTATTTTATTTTTATGTAGTGCCAAGGATCGAACCCAGGGCCTCGCACATGGGAAGCGAGCACTCTACCACTGAGCCAAAACTCCAGCCCCATCCACATTTTTCAATCCCCTTCACAAGTTTTCCTTTCTACTCACCTTGCCAAAAGGCTCAAAGATGCCCCGGAGCATGTCCTCAGTGATATTGAAGTGCAGGGAGCCCACATAGAGGCGCATTGGTCCACCAGTACCCTTCTGCAGATTGTTGGCCATGGCTGCCAATCGGTTTTTCTCAGCCTAAAAAAGCAGAAATACATGATGGGTTATGTTCCACTTTCCTACCCACCTTTTATTATGTCACCTTCTTAACCTGCTCACCTGTGAGGCCTGTACAATGATAGGTACTCCCAGAAGTCGTTGCCCAGTCAGCCCAATGGCCAGTGGCACAGACTGCATTTCACAGAATTCCACATACGCAATGCCTTTAGAACGACGTGAGTTCCGATCTGAGATGATACGCACATCACGAACCTATCCCAGGACACAAAGAAAATCCTGTTGAGAATGAAAGTAGATAGATAGAAGATAAATTACTCAGAGGAACACTGAGTTGGGAAGGTTACCTTGCCAACAGCAGAAAAAAAGTCCTCCAGGTCTCGAGGCCGGATACGGGCAGCTAATTGCATACAGAAAACTGTGCGGGCATCACGCTCCTCAGGGCTCAGATTATCAATTGGCTGCCTAAAACATAAAACATGTTTAGACTGCTCCTCTCAATCCTTGGTTACTATTCTCCAGTTAACCCTCAAGTAAAACACATTCCTATAGTTTGGCTCTACCAACATTTTATTCATATTTCACAATCCCTAAAAGTGCTCATTATTAACCTACCTGACCGGGCTCTTCTCTTTGAAATGAGGGCTCTTACTGTGTCCATACCTACGTCTAGAAACAGAGAAAAACAAAATTAAAACTTTATTCAATGCTGGGTCTTTCATTATGAGAAAACCAGATTCCAGCACCTCATCTCATATATGAACTATTAAGATAGGCTGAGCATACCTAATCTGAAAATTGAAGATTGCAGTCAAAACATAGGCATACTAAAATGCATTAAAGTTACCACCAATCCCATAGTATCTCATTATGTATATGTAAATATTACAAAATTGAAAACAATCCAGGATCCAAAATACTGATGGTATCAAGCATTTCACCTAGGTGTACTCAACCTGTACCATCCCTCCAGTAACTGTGCAACCTGCCTATCATAGTGGGTGATAAGCACCCTCAGGCAGGATCCACAGTGCACTTGTGTAGCCAGAGTAAGACAGAAGGGTGACATTGTTTAGAAATGGTGATACCCAGTGGGAAGTGGAGGACTCCTATAGCGCACACGATCTTCACGTCGCCGGTCTCTACTTCGCGACTCACTATTATGTCGCCGATCCCAGCTACGGCTGCGGCTGCGGTGATGACGCTGCCGATCTCGACTTCGACTACGACTGTTTCTCCGTCTATGCCGGTCTCGGCTACGACTACAGATAAAAATAACCTCTTCTGAACTTTAACCTATAGCCTTCCATGCTATCTTCCCATTTTAACAATTCCCCAAATCTGGGCTGGGGTTGTGGTTCAGTGGCAGAGCACTTGCCTAGCATCTGTGAGGCACTGGGTTTGATTCTCAGCACCACATATAAGTAAATGAATAAGGTCCATCAACATGTTTTTTAAAA